ATATATACAAATGGACATATATACAAATGGACAGTTCATTTTGATGTTAGATTTTAGGGTATATATAACTTGATATAATAACTCTAAAAAATTCAGAGTCTGCCATGAGTAACACTTATTTTCTTTCATTCTTACATATACTCAAGTTCCATAGTTGAGACTAGGTAGATTCATTTACTCAAAGTGTTGTGTGAAACAAGCTGATCTGGCTTTTCTTGTGTAACCCAGGTCTGTTTCCCAATAATAAAACTATTTACCAGAAAAGATTCAAAGTCAGCAAATAACCAAGATTACTTTGATTTCGCAATAATTTAATCCACACTCTGAAAAAGGGCTAAAGATCTTCTCCTGTGATGCAATACTACATTTTTCTCTTTTTTTAAGGCAGGTTGATGAATGAAAACACAGAGTTTCTTGCTAGGCTCCATATTTGAGTTGATCTGAAGCCAAAATCTGAGACATGTCTGCTGCGTGTGCCATCATTATTCTTTCTCTACTCTCTCAGCTATTCAACTCCTCTGCTCTGAGAAAAGCTGCTCCACCCTATGAAGTCTCCAACTGCATTCGAACCATCTGTCCTAACCCTTTTTGACTTATAGTCAACACAGATAACTGACCATTCAGACAGATGATCCCTACTTTTTGCTCCCCGTTGTTCACGTAGCTCCACCTCCCCGCACAGTGCATGTGGCATCTTTGTTATTTGTCACAACAAATCCCACAATCCAACATTCTGGGATATATCTGCTCGCCTAGTGACCATGGATTATCTCTACGGTGGAAGGTGCACTGTGGGAAATTTCGAGTCCACTACTTTTTCATCCACTATATGTTAGGATACTCATCTGAAATGGCATAATCATTAAATATAGTGATTACGGAGGACATTCAGACACAGCTACCGTCTTATGATGTGGAGAGCAGATGGACTTTAATTAAAGGAGTTTTCCTCTCCACTATCACTACAAGCATGCTTGGAGTCTAAGGGTGTGTTTGATTTCAGAGGCTGCATCCTCCAAGGACCCAATCTACCTGGACTGGGTCCCTGGAGGCATGCCCGCCGAGGGGGGGGGGGCACCGGGCCAGTTGTCCCGGGCCCTGGGTAAAGGGGGGCCCTGAATCGGTCCCCTATATATTTTGCGACAAATGTAATTTTTTTAATTTGTTTGCAAGGAAATTTGAGCTTTATTCTTATTAAATATCTTATAAAATCTTTTCCTAATAATACTTTCCTTCTATTATCCACTACAGTATTGGGAAGCACCCCCACCAGCTGTTCCTTCTAACCGGTTATGCCTCTAAAGCAGCTTCTCTGAAGTTTGTCAAGTTGTTATACATAAGGCTGGCTGCGCTGCAGCTGCAGACAGGAAAATATAGAACCTGAATCTTCCCCTCTGTACACAGACAGGCAGCAGCTCCATCACTTTAACATGAAGGGTACAGTGGCTCTCACCTGAAGAAGGCGCCTCAAGCTGCAGGAACAACTTTAGATTGATCAGAATTTTAGATTGCCCTCACCTGCAAAAACCTGAGAAGGCCGTCATAGCTTAAAGCGCTCTGAAGGAGCAAGCAATCTCTGTCAAGGTTTTGTTCCCTGTCTTTGCTAGATGAAGTTATAATTACCATTGGACCAATGGGTTTGGTTAAGAGGTTGAGAAGTTTTTAATTTGACTGATGTGACTACATGACGCGTCCACGCTGCAACAATGCTGCGTTGGAAGTGAATAAAGAGACAATCCTATTGTACAGCCTTGCTTAAGAAAGGTTTTGACATGTTCTGGTCTATTTTAACACTTCACGCAAGTAGAAATCACACAAGTAAAAAAAAACTATAAATGGGATCAAATGCGACTGGAGGAGGTATGGAAAGCCAAATGTGCCGCATATTTCATAAATCAAAAACTGGAAATATCTGTATTTGTAAATATAAACATTTAGATGTTACGTGAGATATATTTCTTCATCCTTAATAAATAAATATGTTTCATTCATTTAATTAACTATTAAATACATTTCTCTTGCTTCCAGAAAAGGTTACCTAAAAAATGTAAGACCTCATTCAAAGATTGATCAATCAAGACTTTATTTTAAATATATGCCTGTGTATGCATATACACTACATGCAAATTATGAGTTGATGGGCCCTGCAGTGTCAGTTCTGTCTGTCCAGCCAAGGCAGTCAGCTTTGGGTCTTAAGTGTCAATACAGAAACTTAACTAAAAAAATATTAATGTGAAAGTGCTTAGAAATAGAAAAGTGTCACTTAAAAATGGACAAAACAGACTACTTTGGCAGTTGATGCTGTTTGTGATTTTATTATTCTCATGGTTATTTTACTTTGTTGAAATGTTTGTTTACTCAATCAATAATTTGGGTCGTGAGTCGACTCTGGTGTGAACACGTAGTCGAAAAATGTGGGAAACCACACCACAGAAAATGGTGTTATGTAATCAAAGGGTCACGGACCAGGTCAGGACTGTGTCCCTCTGGCGATAGCTTTATGTTTTACCATGAACTATTGCTTAAATTATTACACAGTACCTTACAGAAGTAGTCACATCAGTTCAACATTTTGTTATTTTTTAGTGCAAATTAACAAAAATGAACAGCTACATCCTAAAAGCAGCATTCATGTTATATAGCTTGATTGCTCTGAAAGTTTAACATTTCAGGATATTTTGCTTAAAATACCCCAAATTATGAAATAAAATAGATCACTGAATAAAAAAAAAAAGACATGGGAGATTTATACCTGTTTAAATAATTTTTGATAAAGTGATCATATAGCTTACTCAGATGGTAAAAACCCATAAACTCAGGGAATTTTTCCAAGCTCTTGAGTTAGCGAATTATGGAGTGACACTGTGAGTTTTTATTGTTTAACCTTTTCACATAAGAATCATTTTCTAAAGCATAATAATTGTTTACATCCATTTTGTTATTGTAACCGTTTTGTAGCTTTTTTTCCCCTCAGCAAAATCAGAGATGTACATTTTTTGTTTTTAGTTGCCTAAATTTTGCACATGTAATCTAACTCAGAGTAGAGACCTTTTCCACCAAATAACCCCAGAATTTGTATTAACTAGGCTACAGGAATCATGGGTAATTCCTCAGCCTCCTTTTCCTTTGCTCTGGACCCCCCCCCCCCCCCCCCCCAAAAAAAAAAAAAAACAGCCTGCTGGACCTTCAGTCCAGCAGGTGGCAGTAATAAGAACATACAACTGGCTCTCCTTTACCTCCAGTGATTAGTAAATCCCTTAGTTTAAAAAGTTGGACATTTAATCTTTTTTATAAACCTGCATCTGGCCTGTTGCTTTTTAACTTTAAGATTAACCTAAAATAAACACTAAGAACCAGAATGTTTTATTGTCTCATTTATTAATGTCAACATACACTACAAAAACAATCAAGAAATAAGTAAAAATGTCTGAAAGTTAGCTTATGTAGCCTTCATTTGAGTAGGTAAATGAGATAATTTGCCAATGAAATGAGCATTTTTACTCTTAAAATAAGATAATTAGATAATATACACTTGAAATAAGTTTTTCTTATTTTAAATGTCAATTGTGTTGTTTGATTGGCAATTACCTCCTCTGTTCAAGACAAAAAGCAGTTACTTTTATTGAGATTTACACTTTTTGCTGTCTAAGCATGTTTGGAAAGTTTTTATTTTATTTTTGTTTGTTGCAATGCAGGTCTTTTCTTTACGTTAAAAATCCCTGTTTTTTATTCAGATTTTTCTTGGTTTTTAGGGATGTATAGACCTGTTTGCTTTCATTCGCCTTGTTGCTTTTATGACACCAAAATCTCTCTACTGCAGGACAGTACACTATATTTTATTTTTATTTTCTTCTGATCAATCTATATAACACCTTTTTCTCTTTCTGAAATGCCTGATCAAATAATTACGACATTTTTATGACACCAAATGCTTTTAAGATGTGCTAGTGTTGTATTTGGTTATTTGGGCTAATGACCATAAATACTGAACAGAAAGCCTTGAATAATCAAAGGGACAGTGAGGATGGATTTGTGGAAAGGTTTAAAGCAGGTTTAGCCCATTAAAGTATAACCTATACATCTCAGCACTGTTCAGTCTGTCCTCTGTTAATGGACAGAGTGAGAGTGGAGAGAACAAACCAACAACGAAAGATTATGTGAAGCAGCTGCAGCATCGTGCAGGGATGCATTGTGGTTTTTTTTTTAATTTTATAATTTAATTGTTTTTTAATAAAAGTCTTACTAAATATTGATAGCTTGTTCTTTTATTCTTTTTAAAACCCATTTAGTGCAGAACTGCCCTAAAAATAAAAACCTCTCAAGGCTGCACTGGGGTAAAAATGTTAGCACCTTGAAATATGGCGCTTGGTTTAAATCTTTGCTGTTACCCTTTTTTTAGAGCTTGCATATTCTCCATGTCAGTGCATTTTTTATTTATCCAGTGTTGTTTTGGGAAAAACTGGAACCAGTATGTCTAGTGTCCACTATGCTTCCTGCCCCTCTGATTGCTAGAAACATGCTGCAACCCTGCAAGGATAATTACAAACTGAGTACATGATGAGATACTATTATTTTCTGACCAAATGTTCCATTCTGCATCGTAATTCACATTTAATTGACTTTATACCAGCTGTTAATAAATAGTGGACCTGGGATGATTAGTGGAGTTAGTCTTCTGTGGCCCTGCATGTGCAAACAGTGAAGAAAATGAATGGATGAATGCTTTATATGTGCAAAAAAAAAAAAAATCAATGTTGCCATGGCTCACATTGTTGGTTAGTATTTCTAACAGGATAACTAAGACACTAACCGCCTCTTCTTTTCTTCCCACATGTAAAATCATCACCTCTCTCTGGTGTATTGTTTCATTTATTTACACACTCTGATATTATTACCCACTAACTGGATTAGTACTTTACATTTTCAAATCCCCATAAGCCTCGAGCGCACTTGTTCCTGTGTGCACCCGCTCTCCTCCTTTCCCTTGCATTAGTGAATGTGGAGGCAGGAGGTGCAGAGAAGGTTCACACAATGGGAGGGAATTGGAGCATTGGGAAACAGAGCTGTGAGCATTAAGATTGGATTTTTGCTGATGAGCTGAAGCAAGCGAGTGTTTTCTGAACCCTTGTTTTTTGTTAAATAGAGGCAGCTGGAAAGCTCTTTTCCCCCCCAACAGGTATGGACAATTGCAATCTAGTATTTTTCTATGCTTTGGTGTAATTTTAAATGACTGAACACAAATCCTGCCAGAGAAATTAAATGTTTCTCCACGTCTTACCTGCACTAAATAAGACTGAAGTTGTTTTACAGAAACTGAAATCAATATAAAGAGAGAGAAATAAGCACAGAACTGTTTTAAACATAATAATTATTAATAATAATAGGCAGAATCCTAGCTGGGGACAAGCTAAATAGAATTTTATTGACAAATACATTTAGCTTTCGAACTGCCTTTGGAACCAACCAAACACATAAACTGAGACAAGGTTTATTTCTACTTCTATTCAAAGCTGTATTTCTTAGGATAAAAAGGATTTTGTTTTTACGTTGGGGTCTCTGTAGATATTAAGGAGAACATTAGCTTGTTATGTAAAGAGCTCCCTTTCAGCAGGCAGCCTGCAACAAATAAAGAAGTTTGAGAACCTCCAATCTCCAGCTTTCTTTAAGGAAAATAAAAGCTCTTATCTCATCAGGTATAAATGCATTTAGTTTCTTTAACCCAATTATAAAAAAAAGGAAATGGCTCATTAGAGAACCCAACATCATTCACACTCCAAGCAGTGAGATTATCATTAGCAAGGCTCTGGATTAACAAGCAGTTTGTTCTGCTGCTGCATCCGTGCAGGATCTGTGAACTATAATTACAAAATGATTCATAAGTTTTATGAATATGGTTTAGCACAGTCTTTATTGTTTTTCAAGTTTTATTTGGATTGTTTGTCACAGAGCAACTCAAATATGTCTCTGATTATGAAGTGGAAGGAAATACTACTGTCATGATTGGTTTAATTTCAAACCCACATGCAGAACACAACGGAGGCTGGGTAAAAGTTTAACAGAGTTTATTTAAGATATTGATAGTAAGAAACATGAACTGGATCTGGAACAGGTCCGGGTTGGGTTCACTGAAGTCTGCAGAGATGATAGTTTGATTAGCTGGGCAGGCAGATGATTAAAGAGTCCTTTAGATAATTCTGATTCTACCTTGACGGGGTCCAGGCTTCTCTTGTGAGAGAGGGAACCGTTGGGTCCAGAGACTGTTGGTTCAGCAGAGTACACAAGCAGCTGCAGCGTCTAGCTTCTGACTTTGAATGGCAGACCTTGATTACAGTTTCCAGCTCTTCATAGAGAGCAGATGGGGAAATCCAAATAGGAATCTTCAGGTTTGGCTCACCAGGGCTGGAAGGCAGGTTAAGCTCACCCAGAGCTTCAGGCTTGAGACAGGTTTCCAAACTAAGGTCAACACTGGGGCGTTGAAGGAAGGTCTGGCAGCTGCTTAAGAAGGGAAGGTCTCCTGATGAATAGATGCGTCTCAGGTGTGCTGGAGGGCTCCAGCCCAGGAGACCCACGGCGCACTCTGCTGGAGGAAGGTTGTACATCCCCAGATCCCAACAACTACATGGTTTTCATGTTTTGAAATGTGTTGAGTGTTTGTAAGTAGTAAAATCTTTGGCTAAACACTTCTTTATCAGTCGCCTTTAACAAAGGTCATGTGGGTTCAGTTTGATCTTTAATTCCAGCCGTTCTGTAAAAGCCTCAGAAGTCTGTTAAATAACATTAATAGGCAACTGCATTATAAAGACAAAGGGACGCAGCAGAGGGGCCAGAATTTCAACATACCAGAGGAGCAGTTAGGAAACACACTCATAAGTTAATTTGTTATTGTTTAAATTGCATTTTTCAGAGTTGCCTTTATGCAATCCAAACACAGAACTTTATGTATTTGAGATAAATACACTCATTGGTGTTAATTTTGAGTAGGTATATTTTATTGATTATGTATATCAAATAAGTACGTTTTTGTTTATACGAATAAATATATATAATCTAAGGTTGGTTTAATGGTAACTTGCCTGTACTCATATAACACTTCTTCAAGTCAGGACACTTGACCAAAGCACTTTACACTACATTCTGTCATTCACCCATTCACACACTGATTCATAGGTTTGTGTTAATGTTATCTCATAAAAAGCCTTTGGACATTTTTTTCTGTGATAGGATTATTCAAATCTTAAAATTTGGGTGAGATACTGTATGTTTGTGTGTGGTAACTTTGGAGGAACTACAGAGATCCACAGCTCAGTTGGGAAAATGTGTTGAATTAATTATGCACCCAAAACAATGTCAACTTGAACTTTTTGGACAAGGTTTGTTGAGATAATTAGAGATTTGTGGTTTAGCGCCACACATTTCCCTGAACAGTTAATCCTCACCATAAGGCATGGTAGTAGCAGCATGAGCAGAGCGAGGGAGGGTGTGGAATTGCTGGGAATATAGCTTAAAGTGAATATGGTTTTCATATAAAAAAACATATTAAAGATTGCAAAAGACTTGAGTCTAAGACGTTGGAAACCCACAAACAGGAAACAGTAAACATGCCGTCAGATCTACTATATGATAATAACATTGGGAAATAAAATCTCTAGATCCATGGAACCGCTTGGAGCCCCGACACCCCCCCCCCCCCCCCCACACACACACACACACACACACAACGACTTGCAGCTTTGCTTGTAGTAAAAAATGGTGGAGTACTAAAGTTTTAACTCAGCAGGTTGGAAAACAAATGCACGGCCCACCTATTAAATTTTCCTGCTTTCCTTAAACATTTCAAAGGCGTGCATAATTGTGCTTCTATCTCAGAATTAGAAAATTTTTGTGTCCATTCGTCACATCGGAAAATTATGTGGATGCATAAAATTGAGGAAAAAAGGAATTGCGGCCGCCTCTCTTGAAGTTAAAGGCTCTTTTAAATATGAATTGTAATGTTGCAAGTCACATAAAAGCTTTATTCTAACACGCTGCCATTATCACTAAAAACAGCTAACGCACATTATGTGGACACTCTGCATGTCTCATTGATTTGTAAACTAGGAATTAGATGTCTCCTTTTAGAATGAACAGTAACTGTGTGGGAGGGACAACAACTCGATATTCCCCCTTATTTCCTCCTGAGACTAACACCAGCAGGGTTCGTTTCATGACGGGCTCTGAATGGAGCATTCTGTGCACATAATGAGACGCTTCTGGACCTGCACATTTCCACAACAGAAATGCTTTTCACATAAAAGGACTCTGGGAAACAGTATTTCTGTTTAAAGACTACAAACCAACCTTAAAAATGATAGTGGTGTGCAGAGTCTGCCACAGCAGGAGGTAGAGTGAACAATTTCTCCAACGATATTCCAGATACTGCACACTTTTTAAACATGTTCTGCAGCTGCTCAGTGCTGCAATGCCTCTGCTGTGGATCTGCTTCTGCTGTTATTATTGTTTCCACACTGTTCACCATTCTTCCTGTCTCCGATGTTGGGCCTTATTATCTCCATGCAAAGGGCTGAGTCTCATTTGTCCAGCCGACCCAGTTCATCAAACACTTGTCGTCCCTAAAAATGTGATCTACATTTCCCTTAATGATCAGTCACAGTGCAGGCATTCAGGCTGGCTAGGGTGGCTTGGCAAGGATCATTGTTGACGAGGATTTGTTGGAAAGCCTGCTGGAAGTCTGTGTGTGTGTGTAAGCACAACTCATCATAAGGAGATAAACTGACAGACAATAATGTGGATACATGGCAGGTTTGAGGGTATATTGAAGAAATATGATTCTGCAAAAGTTGGAGTTCATTTTAAAATGTGTTTTTTCGGGGGGGGGGGGGGGGGGGGGCAAGACCATTAGATGGTTAAAGAAAGGTATGCTCTTCAAAAAAAGTGATGCCTTGGAGCCAAAGTGTTGTTCGGTGTTATAACCATGCTTTGTTCCAGTGGGAGCACTCTGTCTCATCCAGAGCAAAGAAGCCCATAATGTTAACCATTTGACACTCTTAAATCTAACGCACAGATTCTAGTAAAGATGGAGATGTTCCATAAATATACCTCACAAATACTCTTCACATCAGGGGACATTAATAAATGGATATTTCTTTGCCTCTTCACACTTTTCACATTCACTTTAAAAACATTACAACCAGAAACAGTCATGGATTTGGATGTTTAGTTTTTTAGTTTTCATTGGTTTCATTTCCATTTTGTGTTATTCTAGTTTTTTGAGCTCATGTATTTCTTGTTTACCCTCTGCTGACCCTTGTGTCAGTCTCCTTCCCCTAGCTCCCTTCTAGATGCTTCCATCCACACCTGTTCCTTATCAGCTCGTTAGCCCAGTCTTTCTTCTGTCTCCCATTTGTACTCTCCCTGTGCAGTTCCTCGGTGCTGGTTCCTTGTTGTTTCTTGATCCTCATGTGTTCTTCCTGATGTCTGCTAGTTTTTGGTTTTCTGTATTTAGTTAATTTTGGATTTTTGACTCATTTGCCACCTTTTTGAATGATTAAATCAGCAAGAAATCACTTCAGCTTCTGTCTCTGCATTTGGGTCCTCCAAAACCTCCACTGAAGCTGAAAGAAACTTTTCAAACATCTGATAAATCAATCAAGAGTGATGCTTCAAAATCTTAGTTTTTTTTTTCAAGATAATAATGGTTTGTTCATGTCAGATTTTCATCAGAGAAGAACATTTTACTTATCACTGTGATGCCTCCGACATGATCTGGTCAGATGTTCTCTAATCAACCTCTGAGGTCCTCAGGAAAGAAGCAGTAAGCAACACCTTTGGAGACTATAAATACTTATGTAATTGCAGGAGAAACTTGGGTGTCCCGGAACCTATTAAGGGGTATCAGAGTAAAGAGGTTTGAAAAGAAATGGATACATAAGTGGAGTGGCAGCTAGTGGTAGGGCGTAGAGCTAGGAATCCTGAGGTTCTGAGTGCAAGTCCCACTCCCACAGACTGCCACTCTGGGTCCCTGAGCAAAGAATCTCAACCCCACACTGTTCCCCAAAGGAATGGGTTAAATGCAGAGAGGGAATTTCGTTGCTCTGTACTTGTGACAGTTTAATGACAATAAATGCTGGGGGAAAAAAGGGAAAAAAACATAAATGCAGTGGAAATAGAGGAACATAAATAATAAAAAAAGGTTTGAGATTTTAATGTTAAAATGAAAAAGAGGTGAAGGGGTGTGACTACTTTTACAAGAAACTAAAATAATTTTTCTTAAAGACCACATTTTAATCTCTTAATGTAGAAATTCAAAACATTTTTCATTGTTATGTCTGTTTTCGGAAATGCCTGAATATCTTACATAAACTATTTGTTCCAGAATTATTAGCAAGGTTGTTTCTCTTTCAGATAAATGGTCACAGGACAACAAAAAGAGCTAAGATTCATCTAGCAAACAGAACATAATTTTTTTTTTGTTGTTGTTGAAAAGGGACAATGCATATACATGAAAGAATTTATACATGAATAAAAATAAAAAAGGCTTCTCCAGTTTTCCCCTGTAGGTCAGATACAATCAGGACAAAAAAGACACCATTCACAGGACAAATGAGAGAAACAATCCTGTTATTGACATAACAAGCACACAGAAGATGTCTAGACATCATTCGATTTATTATTTGCTGTGCATAATTACAAATCTGACTGTCAACAGAGCGGCTTCCACAGCAGGACTGGGTTCTGAGGTAATGGATTCTGATTAATCCTCGTTTACATACCTATCAACCATTTAACAACTGTGCGCTCATTGATATGTATTTGTTAGATTTTCCGTAAGCTGTTTAAGTTTCAGAAGTAAGGCATCTATTTCTATGCAAACATCAATTTAACCTCTGATAACTTTAAATGAGATGTATGTTTCTCAACTGGAAGATATGAAGGATTCTAACATTTAAGTTTACAGTATTCCATTTCATTCTTGTTTTAAAGCTGTTTCTATGTGATCAGCTTAGACCAACTGAAACATTAAAATGCAAATGAAAGATTATATTCAGCTGTTTTGCACAATAAATGTCAGACTGAATACAGATGATGATTCATGCAGTGGTGCAGCAACTGTAATAATAGCATTAAAAGTGACTGACAATGTTCTGTTGTTAAACTCTGCTAATCACCACACTGCTCTCTGTGCTCCCTCATGCTTTCAGGGCTGGAGGGCCAACAACCTGATTGCTCCAAACCTTTTACATCAGCAGTCCTGCTGCCATGGAAACAAAGCCAAGAACCTGGCAGGAACAGGGTCCTTTCCATTTTCTAGCAGGGATGCTGGGTGAAGAGGGCGTGACCGTGGGCCACAATGTTTCTCTGCAAGACAGAAAAGCCCCCAAGGCAATACCTGAGGAGGACTTAGATGCCCCGGAGCCTGCAGCCGAAGATCCACAGGGGAGCCAGACAATCAGTATATCTGATAATGAAAATAAAACTGAAAATCCAGAATCTGCCGATTTAAGCTGGGGCACTTTTAGAGGGACCAACGAAGGTTTGGCAGAATCACAAGAAAGATCTAGAACGTCATCAGGAGTTCGAGAGGAATCTAAGCAAGCATATAATCTGTGTGAGGAGGGTTTCCTACGTTCTCTGCAGCTCAGTGTTTTATCACTAGCAGAGTATTGTGAGGAAGATAGGTTTTACAGCCTGGAGGGTGAGGTCAGGGAGTGGACCAATGAACCCGATCCAAAGAAAGACATTAGAGAAAGCCCAAAGACACCTAAAGTAATTGAGCCAGCTTATCAGGACAAATACATATCTATTTATCATAATTCATTTGACATTTGTAATGATAAAACTGAAGCTCCTACATTTCAGACCGCCCCAGACTGTCTCTCTGATTTCATTAGCTGCAATGACAGAAGCACTCTGAACTCTCCTCCTTTTGCTGATGAAAGTGGAGAAGAAGAGGAAGCAGATACAAAGTTAACAGCCTGTCAGCAGCAATTAGATACACCTGAGTTGATTTGTGTGGGTTTGAAACCTACATATTCTGATCCTGAAGAGAAAGACACTGTCCTACCTGCAGGTACTTCAGTCAGGCATCGGGAGGCAGTGTTGCCACAAAGCCAGTCTAAGCTGTGTCCCAGAGGACTAAACCAGGAAGCTGTACAACAGGTGTTTGCTCATGGATCTCCACCTGGCTCGGCTGTTGCCATGGAGCTGACCAATCAGGGCAGGGAAGCCTCTCAAGGCCATGTTGCAGCTGTAACAGAAAGGAGCGGTAGGGTGGGGGAGAGAACACAGGGTGAAAACGAGCAAATAGGTGGAGTTGAAGGGCAGAATAAGACCGGAGTTGAGAATATCAAGTCAGCTGTAAGGTCACAGAACAGAGTGCTGTTCAGGTATCTCCAGGCAGTCCAAAAACAAGAACCTAAGGTGGACAACAGCTGCGGTATACCTCTTAAACCTAAGGGAGACGTCAGGATGAGGACTGACATGCATGATGACAGCCAGAGCGACAGCGGCGTGTCAGCAGACTTCCAAACATTCAGAACTCTGAGCAGCAGCATGTCTGTAGACTCTACAGGCCCTGTCTCTGCAGAGACCCCCATCGAGAGGGAGATCAGACGTGCCATAGAGCGGGAGCAGAGCCTGAGGAGATCAAGAGGACTTCCAAACCAACGAACCTCTCCAGAGTACGTAGAAGTTCCTTTGAGAAGAAGCCTGCTTAGCCAGTCGGTAACTCCGAAGTGGTCCCAAAACAAGGATAGGGAATTTGCCGGCAAAAAGATGCTGCATGAGATCCATGAAGAGTCCCGAAGGGAACAAGATCTGGTTAAGATTGGGAAAATTCCAGGCTTCTATGACAAAGGCACAGCCAGCCAAATAAAGGAGAGAAAGCAGCTCTTTGAGACCCTGAAGATAGCTCCAGGCTCTTCAATGATGGCCTCACTCAAAACTAAAACCTTATCCTCTTCGTCTAGCAGCAGTGAAGATTTGAGTTTATCTCTGGAGAGTCAAGATGAATCTGGTGCCTCCACCCCAGACCATACCTACAGTGAGAGGAAATCCATGATGTTGAATCACTCTCAGAGCCGAATCCCTGCCAAAGGTTCAGATCAAACTATTCTTCGGGGGTCAAGGTCCTCTGAGGGAACCAGATCTCAGATAATCATCCTAGAACACAGCCGAACAATTCCAGCAAAGAAACCCCACAATGTTAGAATAAAGACAACGGCCGATCCAGCTCCTGAAACCAAAAACATCTTTAACTCATTGGAGAAGACAAGGGGATATGATGGGCTGACAAAGAATAAGAAGGTACTGGTGGAGAAGGAGGAGGCAGCATCCAAGGGGAACCCCTTTTTTAAGCTTCGCACCTCAGCTAATTTAGAAAAAGTGAGGCAAGAAATCGAAGAGGCCAATGAGAGGGAGAAGGAGCTCCACACCTTACGGCTCAGCCTCTATGGGGGCATCAACAACGCTGAATCATCCATAACGAAAGAAATGCCAGCTCCTGGGAAACTGTCCAATAGCAGAAGGGAAGCATATGAAGGTTAGTGAATTAGGAAAATGTTTTTTATGTGGTCCTGTAAGTGGGTATGAGCTCTTTTTTTAATCAGTGGGAAAATGATAAAGACCCCCTTTAAAACTGCCTCTGCGTACACACTACTTTATTCATCCCCTACTGGTGAAAATCTCCACAAGGACGTCTAAGTAATAACAGAAAAGCGGAAACTAATGAGTCATATTGCTTTAATTTATCTGAAATCAGAAAACTTTTATTTAATTGGTGAGTTAAAAACAGGGGTCTTGCTTTGTACTAAGTATATAATGAGGGTAAGAGACAAAAAGAAAAATATCTTAAAAACCTTTGAACTTTTTCTGAGCTCATCCTTAGATCTTCGGTTATGTCATTACATCACAAAAATACTTGCAGTGCAAAGGTCTGGGCTTGATCCACTGTTCTTTCCACTGTGAAAATGTAGTATTTGGGCTTTTCTACCTTTGTCTTTGTAATATATATTTGTGGACAGCCCTTTCATATTGTGAAGGGTGTGTAGTTTTCCCTTTTGTATAGAAACAAATGGGATGACAGTGAAGTAGAATGAGGTCAATGTAATAAACAAAGGAAATGATGCATATCAACCTTGGAATGTTCCAAGCATCTCAGAATGGACATCAATAAAAGTTGGTTACAGCTAGATTGAGCCTTTAAGGATGGATAGATGGATTATACAGTCTCCTCAAGCACTTGTTACATCTATCTTCAATAATTATTTGATCCTTTCTTACTGCAATATATGTAGAAAAGCGAAAGCTGCTTTAAAAAGAGAGTTCCTAATAGTTACAGCTCATTCGAGGTGAAACTGAAGGCTTGTTAACCACGACTACATGGAATAATGAAGGGTGTTTAAAGAATAAAAATGTTAATGAATAAAAGAATGCAGTTGTCAATTGTTTCAATAAAAAGTGGCCTAAATCGACCCTGGGTGTGCCAGAGTGCAATTAGATGTCTATGACGCAGCGCTTATTACATAACATTGTTTAATTGTGCAACTTTATGTGGTCCTTAGTATCTGCTTCTATTCTTGGATTGTGTTATATTGGTGTTCAGTGAAATCCTTCACATTATAGTCACTTAACTGTTTTTTACTGCCTCCTCAGCAGAGATATCGTGACAGAAACATTTTTCCTCTCTGCTCTTGTGGTTTATCTTGTAAAAATTGCTTCTGTGTCTTTCAGGGTGGCAGTCAGTGGACAAGGTGTCTGCTTGGCAGCCTGTCCTGAGTGAAGAGGAAAAGATTTTCCATCCAGAGGTTTGTTGGCATTTTATTTTCCTTCCTCTTACAACTTCTTGTTCAGTTTTAAGGGTTTTCTGCCCTGTAAATGAATGGCGCACTCTGTTTAGAACATGAAAATGTAGGCAAATCACCTCCCAGACTCCCTTTGATTGCTGCTTAGTAAAAAATACAAAGCTTGTATTGTATGTCTTAATTAAGACGATGCATTAGGGGTTCAAGCAGTTTCCTAGCAGCCAGACTATGAACATTTTTGCAACTGCTCTGGACTTTAATATATAATTATAATGGATAAAACCCTCCAGGGAGGATGTCAGCTTTTCTGTTGCACCAAATATGGGACACAAATGTCTGATAAGGTCCTGAACACACAGCAAGGCACTTATCTCGCCAGATAAGGGAAGAAGGCAAACAGCCTTGAGACTGAGAGGAAAAGTAACATGCAGTGAGGAAAGTGGGATTATGTGTGTCCATTTGAGGAGGCATGTGTGTATGGTCATGTATTCAACTCCGGAGATAAAAAAGAGAGCCGGTTTCCCTCCCACTGACTTTTGGAACCCGTCTTATGGATTCTTAATCTTTTAGAAACTGATGTGGCTGTGATTATACCTGAGTTCGCTGTGTAATTTGGCGAGGCATTAAGGTGTTGGTCTTTAGCTGCATGCTTTGATCTGACATCAGCATGAGCATTTTAACATCTTTCTCCATGGTTCTTTCTGACTCTCTTTCCTTATTAATGCATCAAGCCTTCGTTTGATAAGGATTTAGGGATAAACTTCAGATTCTGCAGGAGAGACTTCCCCTAAACCTTGACTTAGTCAGGATAAACGTCACATAAACCTCAGTTCAGCTTAGTATCATATCTGTGAGGAAAATGTATAATTAAAGAAGTTACATTTTCTTCATTCACAATTTTATAGTAATTTTCTTCCCATTTTGACACATTATAACAAACATCTTACTGCATTTTTTTCAGTTTGGTGACCAAAGCAAATTAGTTCACAATTGTGAAATGGAGGGAAACGCTAGATGGCCGGATTCCAATTGTTTGCAGAAAGTGAGGCGTAAAAAAATTGACAGTTGGACCATTTTTATCCTTTATAAAAAATAAAAATAAAAAGCTCAATCCTAGTAAGAAAGGTAGGGGAGCATGTGTAAGCATTAATTTGTAGTCTTTCTACAAATTGTAATTTGGATAAATTTCCTGTTTTACTTCCAAAACCAAAATAATTCCAATTGAACAGGGTCAGCATTTACTTACACATTTAGCCGTGGCTCCAAAATTGTTACTTTCTCATTTATTCCTTATGACAGGAGGTGGTTTATCAATTCCTGACCCTACTGTGATGGTGAACTGGAAGGATAGTGTAATAAAATAGCCTAATGTTCCGATCAGCAAAATACCTTTGTAGTTGCTTGAGTCCATAGCAGTAGATGGAAATGCCACGAGGAGCCTGAAAAGCTTGGAAAGATATCAATACTTCCATAGCGACACAGTCAGCTGGGGTGCCGGTCAGGGAAGATGGGGAGATGGAGACTGCAGGCTCCACATGTATAGTTGAACTCAAGCACTCATGCAGCTGCCATCCTATTGACACAGACTCCACACAATTTTATTAATAAAAAAAAAAATAAAAATATCAGTTTATTCTCAGGGCTCTTTCTCCCTATAAACAGCCTGTTCAGACATGCAGACTGTTCAGACAGCAGGTGCTTTTTTTTTTAATATTCTTGGCAGAAAAAAATGGCAGCCCCCATAGTTCAGCTGTGAGACTTGGCTATAGCTCTCTAGACTTTAACTGGGCCATTCAGACTAATTAAAATGAATGAGTCTGAACTGCTACATTTTAGCTCTGGTTGTATCTGTGGCCTCCTGCAGGATGATGAAATTCTACCCCACTATACACTTTGTAGTGACAAAAATGTTCCTTATGGTTACCTTGCATTTAGCTCCATACATTTTCATTTGAACTCTAACCAATTTCCTTGTCCTGACTGTATCCCCACTGCATAATGGTGCTGTCACCAATGGTACTGTCACCACCATTTGACAATGTGAATGATATCTCAGCATTATACCTACTTGCTGTTTATGGTAAAAACTTCAAAACAAACAGCAGATCCAAAAAAAGAAAGAAAAAGAAAATCATACAAACATGAATATTTTAAGTAGATTCTGAGAGGTTGTTTATGATGATCCATAATCCTGGCCCAACAGGGCAACATGGTAAATGGTAAAAGGCCTGTACTTATATAGCACTTTTTCAAGTCAGGAGACTTGACTAAAGCGCTTTACATTACATTCAGTCATTCACCCATTCACACACACACTCTCACACTCAGTGTGTGAGTTCTGGACCGAGCTTTAAACATGTGATGGTTTAAAGCTTCAAAAACTTTATTATAGCCCAATAAAATGTTTCTGACTTTCTGTATCAGCTCTCTGCTCTATTCTTTGGTCTGTTTTTGCACTGACATTATGTGACAGATTTATAAGGGCGTCACAGGGGGAATTTCTACACAGAGGGACTCCAGTTACTAATTAGGAAACTGTCAAAGAAAGATGAAGGATTTTCTTTAGGGGAATCATAGTAAAGGGGGTGGAATACAGCTCTAAGCAATATTTTCCAGGTTTTTTTCTGATACAGGGTTTCAGAACTCTGTCTACAGTACTTTTCCTTCCACTTGACAACATTATCTTATGTATATAACCCTGTTTTTTAATATATATATATATATATATATGCATGACTCTTCTTTTCTCCTTTCCAAACAGATGCGGAAGAGTCCCCGAACTCCAAGACAAAAGACTCCTCTACTGCAGCTGTGGGAGTCAGGCATGGTCTACGGCCACAACCTGGAGGACGACTGAAGATCAAGGAGAGTTCACAGAGATCTGCATTTTCTTTAATTAGGGGGAGAAATCAAAACAAAAACAATCAGTGTAAAGGAGGGTGAAACATGAAGCAGGAGGGAGCAACAATGACAAAGAAGAAAGAACATGAAGCAAAATCAGAAAGAGGTCGTGGATTTAGGCAAGAAAACGGGGCCAGGCGGACTGGGAGCAAGAAAAATTGCAGTATATGAAAAATGCTCTATTTGTCTTGTGAAAAGAGGAGAGAAGAAGGACTTTTAGACAGGCCACAATGTAGAATGTAAGATGTTGCCCTGCTTCTGATGCTGCTAAGACAAGAAAATATCACTTAAGAAAAGATGAAGACGATGAATAATAGAATGTAAACCAAAACATGTATGAGAAAGCAATTTTTAAATCGTGCTGAAGTTCTTTTTACTTTGATTTTCTTAAATAACAATAGAATAATATATTTCAGTTTTAAAGTTATGATTGTGTTGTTTTAGAATAATGTACAATGAAACTGTATCTTTAACAAAGCCCCTATTTAAAAAAAAATGAAACAAACACCTTTCATGCCTTTTGTTATCTCTGTAAGAAGAAAATATTCTTTTCATCATCCATAACAAGCCTGTCCTGGAGACATGTCCTCCAGTACAATCCGTGCATGGCCCTTTGTTGTAGCCTGTGATCTGCAAGGGAATCAAAAGAGCAGAAATCAATATGGAGAGATCCAACTTATTCCATTCTTATCCGCTGGGCAACAATTACTGCTGTTTCTTCAAAGGCAAATGCTTTAAAAAAAAACAGGCTAACAGAACCACTGCTTCAGCATCATTATTGTTCACCTCTAATCAATCTAAAGCTAAACCCTAAGTGGATTCAGCTGTATCATTTCTGATTATTTAATCTTAGAATTTTAGTTTGTTTGGCTTCTCGCATTTTTTACCACATACGCCATGAATGGTTCATGTTAATGTTTTAGTCCCTACAGACGAATACAGGCAGCGGAAGATTTGAAGGCTCACCCATGGGATTCCTACAGCCAGTACCACCCAGTTAGCTTAGCTAGACAAGTACCCAGACTGTTCTATCAGAGGGACTCTGCCCGTCTACATATTTTTGAAAGTATTGGCACAATCTTGATCAAATGACACAAAGTAAGTTTTACGGTAAAATTTCCTGCTTCAAAACATCTTTAAATGACTGTTAAATAAATGGGTAGAGGCCGTCTGACTGGCTGAAGTTACGGCTGCAGATGGACGGAGATCCCGCTCCACACCCCAGAGTTATGACTAAATCTGTCACTCGTCATATTGTGAAACGCCTGCTGTGAGGGATGCTCAGAGGATTCATACCTAAAGTCACACAATTAATACCTAAAGCTAAGTCTATGGTGAAATACTTACGGGGCCCCCTTGGGTCACAGTATATGACAGGTGATAGATTTAGGCTACGTTCACACTGCAGCCTGAAGTGACCCAATTCTGATTTTTTTTGCCCATATGTGACCTGTATCTGATCTTTTTATGACAGTCTGAACGAAACAGATCGGATTTTTTTCAAATGCGACCCAGGCCACTTGGATATGTGGTCCTGAATCCGATACGTATCTGATCTTTTCAAATGCGACCTGTGTCTGTACAGCCAGGTCGCATTCATCCGACCTACACGTCATTGATACTTGACAAATGTTACTAAACGTTACTAATCTGCGTCCTACTAAGCGGAGGCGGGAAAAACTAACAACCATGGCGGAAGATAACACAGAGAGCAGTCAATGGAGAGAAAGTGAGGTTGCTGACTTAATTCATATTTGGAAAGATAGCTCGATTCAGACCAAACTCGAAGGGTCTTACCGGAACCTGGCTCTCTTTCTTTTTGATCTTCTTAAAAAGATTTCGTTCGTAATGTGCCTGCTCCTGTTGGAGAAGAACTTAAAGAACGCAATATATGCTGCGGTATTACGAGTCATGTTTACTTCCGCAAACACTGAGGACGCTTGCTACATGTGACGTCATCGCGTCCTCGAGTGCGCATGCGGGACACTTCGGTTGAACGCTTTCAGTTCACACAGTAGATCACATACAAGTCGCATATACTTGTAAGTGTGAACGGACACCTAAAAAAATCAGATTTCACAAAAAAATCGGAATTGAGCATTAAGGCCTGCAGTGTGAACGTAGCCTAAGTTGCAGGCACGCCCCACCAACTCGGGGCTCTGCCTGTATACATCATCAGTTTCTGTCGCTGCTGATTGAATAAATGACTGCAGCTGTATACTACCCCACCCCTCAAAAGCCCAGAAGGTACTGGGTCTCAAGACCCTCCAAAGCCTCCAAAGCCCCAGCAAAGTCAATTGACCCATGTGTAAAGAAACGCTACCCGGGTTTTCAAAAGCCCCAGACTCCTCAAAACCCCCAGGATTTTGATTGCTAATGGAACAGGGGCTACAGACTGTAAAGGTTGGAGGTTTGGGGTGGTGGGGTAGGAGGAGTATAGAGTAAGGTTAAAGGTAAAACACATTTCCACCTAAAGACATAAGAAAAAAAAATCCAGAATACCTTTACAGTTAAAGGTAGATTAAATAATATATATCTTTTCCAGTTTAACCAGTATTACATTTATAAAATTAAAATCAAGATTTCCTTTTTTTTACGGATAAATGTATCGTTTAACGTTTAGAACCTCTCTATCTTGTATGGAAAAACATACATAATGTGGCTTCATACAGTATATTTTACACAATCCAATAAAAAGACATATAGAGGATTAGCAATGCTCCATAGATACAACGGTACTAGAAGTTTCATAAAACAACCATCAGTACATCAGTACAGTACACATGGTATCCCACCTCCAGGGTTATCAGATTGGGATTGACCCTCTGCACCTAATTCGCATCACAAGTAAACTGTTAAAGTTCCCTACTTATAACATAAAACATTTTCGTTTTGCATGTAGTTAGAAGAGAATCAGTAGAAAAATATATTTATTAGTGCTGTCAATCGATTAAATTTTTTTAATCGCGATTAATCGCATCAATGCCTAAGTTAACTCGCGATTAATCGCATTTTAATCGCACATTTTTTTTCTGATTGAAAATCATTTAAATACTCTCGATGACATACAAAAAAATACATACAGGCTAGGTTTGTGCCAATGTTCTTTTTTTAAATGAAAACAGGTCACAGATACTGATGATTTATGCCATAGAAACATATGGCAAGAAGATGGGGAGGCATGTAGCAAAAAATAACAAATATGTAGCCAAAAAAAAGGCCCTGAAAACAGGCTGATGTAAAAGACAGTCTTTACAGTTAATACAGTCTTTTGAACAAAGACAAGCATTTTACCCTACTGCTATAAAATGTAGTAGAGTTAACATTAGATGTTAATTAACCAAGATAATAATGAACAATTTTCAATCAATACATCAAAATCAATAGACCAACATCACTAGATGGAGGTAGTCTATGCTCTAGAAAGTTACTTTTCAGCCTCTTAACAAAAAAATGAGAACACACACACTCACACACACACACACCCACACACACAGACACACACACACGATACCGACCTGTGGCGTACACAGACAGCAAGTGTGCCGTAGCAGATTCCATTTCACCTCAGTAATCTGTTTTCTCAGCGTATTCCAGGTTGCTACTAGTTACCAGACACTCAACTTGTTTGTTGGTGGTGGGGCTTAAAGAAAAGGCACTAGCGTCACCCAGTGTATGCGCGTCTTTTTTCCTTGAGGAGCTCCGCTCTCGAAGCCTATGAGAAATGCATAGACTGGGGGGAAATAGCCCCGCCTTCCCGCAGGCTGCAGCGGGATGTACTTGGAAAATTGTACCATAAAACCACATAGCGTTAATCTCACGTTAAAAAAATTATCGCCGTTAAAATGGCCTCGCGTTAACGCGATAATAACGCGATAATTTTGACAGCACTAATATTTATACATTTTAGATATTGCAGGAGTATTTTAAGAAAAAAACTGTATTATTGTCTTCAGATAGATTTTTTTAGATAGATTAGACTTTTTTTTTTTACAAGCTATAGTGCTAAGGTTTAAAATAACACCAGCCTTTGTGGCCATCAAGTCCCTTTTTTAGTAAAACTTGGATAGCTGTTGCTGATCCATGTTATGTTTGGGAAAGAAGCTAACGGTGAAGTGAGGGGTGGAGCGATGTCAGTCCAGCTATCTTTAGATGCATGGTTCATCACAGAGTAAGCACTGAGGTCAGCATGGTTCTTTTCTGCAACAAAAATGAGAAACATTCTTCTCAAAGCTTCGGCTTCATGAAGGATCTCGCCGCAGGTGGTCAAAGGTGTCACCATGGATACATCTTTGTTGGAAACCCTGCCGGGCATTTCTTTGTTTAAGTTTGCATGAAGACGAGATGAGGGCGTGCTTTTGTGACCTCCCAGTGTCCCGTGAATAATTCATCCTTCATTCGGACTGGACTCTGTATAGTGGTACTGACACTAAATGTTTACAGTAAATCTGAATCAACTTAATCAAAAACATTTTCAGAGGCCTCATACTTTACGAGTCAACCTGTCCTCCATGGCTGTAATAGCCACTCATACTGAAACAGCCACAAAAGCTGTGGAGAGAAATGTGTCAAAGTTCAAAGCTCAACTTGTTTATTGTTTGGTTATATCAGAACAATGGCAGTTCAACATCAAAGATTATTTTCTTCAGAATTTGCAACCTATCCAGTTTATCTCTGCTCTCGGTATCTAATCTGGCAGCTTTCCAGCCCCAGAATAAACATTCTCACCTATCATCTGCTCAGCTCCAGACTCATTTCCATGATATTTCATTATCACTGCTATCACTGCCTCCCCAACTCCTGCTCACAAAGTCATTGAAGCAACATTGTATGACAGTCAGTCTTTAATATGTCTTTGCCAAAAGGGAGAGAATATTTAATCCTTTGACTTGGTTCCAACAAAACAAAACAAAAAACTTTACATTTGAAAAGTTTGTTGTCTTTTCTTAATTCTATATCAACCACATTTTGTACATTACAGAGCACACATTCCGATGACTATTGGTCCATCTATTCCAGGCCAGTTTTTGCCCTCAACCAAATCGTGTTATACCTGAACCTGTTTTTGTTTTTTGTATTTAAGTGTGTTTTTTTTGTTTGTTTGTTGTTTTTTTTAAGCCAAATGTAACTATTTCAATCAAAGAGGTTCTCTAAGGTAAATCGAAAATTTTAACGACTTGATGTAAATGTAATATAAATCCCTTTATTGTCCCACAATGGGGAAATTCCTTATCTGCATTTTGACCCAGCATTGTTCGGAACCCAGGGAGCAACCCAGAGTGGAGGCTATGAGAATCAAACGTGTGCTACCTGGTTAGGGCCGTGTGCTACCTCAGCAATATGATGTTACACCCCTTGAAGAGAAGATATCATGCAAAATCCACTTCTTTTAGAACCTAAATGCATTTGCTTTGTACATTAAGTTACTTAGTGTGCAGGAATGGTAAATGTAACCACTTCAGGGGGCAGTGGCGGAAGATTATGGTAATAAGTTAAATTTTTCCT